GTCACTTTGACTTCAGCTTGATGGCACCTGGTTAGTCCAACCTGTCTTTTAACACTTACCTGAATTTGGCTTTTGTTGTTCCCAAACATCATTTTATCAAAGTTAACTACACATTTCCTCGGTAGTAAGTAGTCCAACCCTAATATGCATTGCTCTTCAATTTCAACCAAGTGTACTTTGTGTCTGGCCTCTATGACCATAAGCTTGATAGTTACCCACTCTGGTCCCCACAACCTTGCATAATGTCCTGTCACACCACAGAGCTTCTGTATGGCTTCTGGTACTCCCTTGTGATCTAGCACCTTGATACTCACAAGGGTTTGCTGAGATGCAGAATCTATGACAAAGTTGCACTTTTGGCCATTCAGCTTTCCTGTAATGTAGACACTATGTGTGCTTGCCATTTTACACTTAGCTGTTGGGACTTTCACAATGGGGGTTGGTGGGCGTCCCTCAACACCAACCACCACTGGTTTCCCGAAGCTGACTTCTTGGTAGTATTCTTCTTTCACTGGCTCCTCATATGTCCTTGCTCTTCACAGTTCCAACAACCTTTCTGGGTAGCAGCCTTTCCTGCCGTGGCATATTCCCTGTGTTGAGGTTGCTGGCATTGAGCTTCTTGTGCCCGGGTTTGTTACAATGCCAGCAAAGTCCCTCAAACTTCTCTTAAAGCTGCTCTTTTCTGGCCTTGAATCGTGATGACTGTACCAACCTTGGTACCTCTGTGCTGGACTTAATGTAGGATTCAAATTCAAGAGCTATGGTCATTGCATCCTGCATAGTAGAGGGGTGTGCTTGCTTCACTTGTATCTTTAGTTGTGGACTGTGCAAGGTGTCTACAAAACTGATCTCTCAGCAACAACTTGGGGAGATTGGGTGGTGCAGTTGGGTAGGCCTTGTGTGCCATACTTTCCAAATCCTGTGCCAGCTCTTGCAGGCTCTCCCCTTTAGCATGGACTCTTGTCCTAAACCTAGCCCTGTAGACTTTGGACTGATTTTGAGTTCCATACCTGATTTCTGGAGCAGCTGCCAGTGCTCTATAGTTGTGCCTGTCGTCTGCTGACAACTGTCCAAGTATTTCCAGTGGTTGTCCTTTCAGGCTCGTTTCCAGGTGCACTGTTTTCTGCTCCTCTGTCCATCCATTCATTTCTGCCAGTAGCTCAAATTGTGTTCTATATACTTCCCACAGTGCCTTCCCATCGAATTCCTGTGGCTTCCTTCGTACTAGATCACCCCTATTGCTGACACTCATGTGTGGAATGTGACTTCTGGCAGGACTAAAAATGTTTGCATTAGGGTTTAGCTGCAGGGTCTGGAAGGGGCTTCCTGTTGTCTGGGGCTGATTAGGTCCTTGGCTAATATATCCTCTCTGTGTAAAAGATAGTAAATCGTCCTTTAATGTATTTAATTCACTTTGAAATTTACTAATATTTTCCATTTGTACTTCTTGTTTCCTTTCTTGTTCCAGTTGCCACTGGTGCTTGTTTTCTTGCCACTGCTGTAGTCTCTATTCTTGTTAATTCTCTTTCTCCTCCAACCACTGCTGTATTCTCTCTTCTTCTTAATTTTTTTCTCCTCCAACCACTGCTGTATTCTCTCTTCTTGTTCATTTTCTTTCTCTTCCAACCACTGCTGTATTCTCACTTCTTGTTCATTTTCTTTCTCCTCCAACCACTGCTGTATTCTCTCTTCTTGTTTCTTTTCTTTTTCTTCCTTTAATGTATTTAATTCACTTT